TTCTGTAAGTTGAAGACCTTGGACCATTTGTATTGAAATTAGAGGAAAAAGGGCCTCGCATATACATGGCTGCCATAAAGTGAGAAAGAGTATTTTCCATTCCCTCAATGTCTCTTTCAATGTTTAACAGTTGGGCTTGAAACTCTTTAAGAGAAATTGATGATTCTCTAGCAAATTCTTGACGCACCGACACCAAGTATCTTGACGCACCAACACCAAATCGTCGCAGCAACTCGAACGATGAGTTTCGTTATCCTGAATCAAGCAACTAGCAACCCCATAGGAGAATCGCCATCTCTGGATACCATGACAAAAGTAAGAACAAATCCTCTAAATTTGCAGAGATGAAAAACAAGAAATTGAGAAGAAGAGAGAGCTCAGAAATCCTGGTTGTTTGTTATATCTTTTCTTAACCGCTAACCAATCCATTTTTGGCTATTTATAGCTTTACATATTTGGTAACTACCTTGCTTAACAACTAAGCTACCTTACACCTTCTAATCTATTGACACTTGGCAATCTAAGATCTTTACATTTGTCATTACAGTAATATTGTTATTAAATTCTAATATTTTTGAAGTCGAGGCAAACCTGACAAAGAAAATATTGATAAAGAACCACTTGATCTCCACCGAGTCAGCACCGTTAGTAAATAACCAGCGCTGTTTTGGATGAAATCCACAGTCCGTTACACTTGCATACAACACCAGAGTCCTTGTAAATATTAACTTTATGAAATATTCCTGCAACTCTGCATAAATAAAGCATCTTATCAAGCCCTTATTCTAGAGAGAAGAGAGCTCTCCATATTATGCTTTCAAAGACATTCAAGCCCGTGAAAGCACGTTATTTTGTCAATATAAAGAAAGCTGTATCACCTATCGTATTTAAGCTTGTATGATCTCAGAGCATTTCCAAAGGAACATAAAACGGTGATCTAGTTAGATCCCACCATGCATGAAAAACCTTATCCAGTGCAATCATCGGCATCGACCTTGTCTTTTTGGTTTCGGATTGATACAAAATCGGCAAACTTTTCCTTCCACACTTTCTAAGCATTCCTGACTTGATCCAAACTCTGTATCTGGAATGCCTGTGTTTCTATCTAATTTCTCATCGCATTCAGTCCAAGGAGATCCTGAAAGATCTAAGAACTTTGTGACTTGAGGCAACATAACAGATATAAAGAACTCAATCGTCGACCGCCTTATTTATTTCTTCTTATTCAACCATTGTCATCATTTCAGGCCTTGTTACTTTTTTTACTCTAATTGAAAACCTGTTCCCTCTTAAAAACAAAACTTCAGATGGGGCTAGTGGTAGGACTACTCGGGAAAACTTGGTCAGCAACAATGTCAGAATATCTCTAGGGAGTAACTGGTGCTTTATGGCCACAACAGTTCCAACCATTTTGCGGATCTGGTGAGCATACAAAGATTATTGTTACTGAACTAATTCTCCCAATAAGAAGTAGACAAATGGCAGTAAGAAAATATCTTAGTTATTAGGGTGAAATTTGAAATATAGATGTGATGAACTAGAGTACTATTATGTGTGTGTGTGTGTGTGTATCAAAGAACTTTCAAGGTCAAGCCAAAATGACTTACTTTGATGTAACATGAAAGACTCTCCCCATATGGAAACTTCAACATAATCATGTCCGAGTGATTTCTCCACTTTCCCACAAGAACGCTGAAAAATCTTTCTTAAATGAGAAGCACCTATTCAATCTCTTTCATCAGGTTCATATAACCATCTTGCACGGAGCACCGAACCAGCACTTTGATCCTTCACAACATCTCTCTGCTTCTTACAAGCATTGAGTAAGCTGTCATTAGTATTGTTAGAAAGTGAAGAGTTTTGGTTCAGTACCTCGGCATTTGATCTTGACGCATTTCTTCCATCAAAGTATTATTCCCCGTTACTTTCCTCAGACCCATAGTCGGAGGCTATTGCCTGGTATCGACACTTTCTATGTTTAGGTGATTGTTTTTTGGAAAGCTTCGACGTGTATTTACATTGTATAGTATAATTATGAAAATGATGTTCTCCCTGCAGATCACAGATAGACTATTCAACGCAAGAATTTTTCTCAAAGCAGTAACTAAATTAGGCGCTGAAAGGATCGTAACGGTATTAAAGAAATGAATGAAAACAAAAACACCACATCAAGGAACAGATTAACTACCGTAAGATAAACTTGTATAGTAAGAAAATGCATGCCATCGCAAGGAACATATCAAGAAAATCTAGATTTGATTAATATCTGCAAATTGGCACAATTACATTAAATGGGAAATGCATGTCAAAATGCTGAAAACTTTGATAGGAAATCATACCTCTGTGCAGGCAAAATGTTGAAAACTTTGATATTACGAGGCAGATAAGAGTTAATGTGATTCAAAAGATCCATGCTAAAAGGGTCTCCAGATTTTGTTGGAGCATCAACCTAATGCCACATATGTGGTTGTGATGGAAAGAGGATGAGAGAAAGGAGATGTTTGCTGCCCAATCGGGAAGAAGGGGAAGAGAGACTGACTAATCGGTAGAGACAGGAAGGAAAGGAAATGAGGGAATCCAGACCCCATTTTAACCTGCAACCTGACCCGACGACCTCCATGGTTTTCGACGTCTTTCATGGTGGATTTTCGGTGAGTTGTAGCCATTCACCACCTGAGAAACACTCCACGACTGTCCTTCTACCAATTCCACCTCAAAATCGAAGAAGTTTGGCCTTAGTTTCACGAAGAACGGAACCTGTCAGTGTTAATGGGTGCAAGGTGGCAATCCGCCTTTCTTGCAACCCTCATTGTTGAATACCACCACCAATCTACTCCTCTTAACCTTAGGAAAAAAGTCCATGCATTGCTTGGGGCGTCTGAGTTCGTTTTAGCGTCGAATCGAGAACACCCATTTCAAGGGTTTCCGATGGATCGAGAGTGATTTGAGGTGTTTTTGGGCCCAATTGGACTTTGACTCAGGTATGAAAGTTGTTTCTCTCAATGAGATCTTTATTCCTATAAAATTTGGGAATTTTTGGAGTTGTTGAATTTTCCGATGAGTCAAGGCTGCTGGCTGTTGCATGTAGCGTCACGTGGCCTTTCGGGATGCCGCCTCATGGCAGCTTGTGCAGCGGCGCTTGGGGGGAAACCCAAGGTCCCTCCTTAGGTTTTTCGACGTGCCAAATCCTAATTCACCGTCTGTTTTCCCAAATTCTATCGTTTAGGTATAGTTTTACTAAATGGTCCTTAATTGTGTTTTTAATGGGAAGTGACACCATTCTCGCTAGTTTGAGCGGGCTCCCGAGCAATGAAAAACTTGTGAATGGACCCTTTCTAAACTTACATGGTTTTATAAAAATATTAGGTTTGCATGCATTGCACATTTCATTAACGGAGCATGTTTTATAATATGTTTTTATAGATTTCCATATTTAGGATTTATAGAGAGATTATGATTTATTTAAATTGCTTTCATGAGATATTTATGATTTATAGAATTTACGTTTTACGAAAGGTATAAATTATTTGACTTTCGTATATGAAATTCTATGGATTACAAATACAATTTATTTGATGGATTTATGAATATGTGCTATCATGGATTTACGAGATGAGGATTTAAGTTTTTGAGCTCTCTGGATTTGAGATGAGATATGTTTTCGGTACGTATCTAGTGGGTTATCATACAACACATCCACACAACACGGGTATGCACACGTCTATGGCCATAAGACACAGTTGATGGTATTTATGTATATACCTTTTATCCAGCGTAACCCGGAGTCGTACAACTTCACCTTCGAATGATGGACCATGGTTTCTTCACTAGCGTAACCTAGTGTCGTGCAGCTTTACCTTCGGGTGATGGACAGGTACTGCCTTCAGGCGAATGAGGAGTTGATGATATTGATGACACACCCCCAGCTTCACTGGGGAAACCAATGTTGGACAGCTTTACTAGGCACGGCTAGTGTCGGTGTGTGATGTTATATACCCTCTTCTTTGGCGTAACCCAAAGTCATACAACTTCACCTTCAGGTGATGGACCATGGTTTCTTCACTAGCGTAACACAGTGTCATATAGCTTCACCTTTGGATGACGGACATGTACTGCCTTCGGGCGACTATGATACCCCTAGAGACTACATTATTTATAAGATTTACGGATTTACCTTGGGGCGGCGATAACATTAGTATTAACTATTGAGCATGGTTTTACATTATGCATGTTTTACGAACGTTTTCATGGCATGCTAAAGTTTTTAGAAAACTTACTATGTAGTATATATGTGTTTTCAAAACAGGGAATTAGTATGTTAAGAAAGAAATCAGTTTTCGTATTATTAGTATTATTATAAACTTTGGTCCACTCATCTTTTTATTTTTGCGCCCACTAAGGCGTTAGAATCAAGGCACATAATTCCAGCATCTCCACTCACTTTTTCTGTTTTTGTACCCCCTCAGGAGTTAGAATCGAGGCACACAATTCCGGTGTCAGGACATTTCTACGTAGGGATATTCGAGTCTCCTTTGTGTATGACTCATTCCTCGGTTCGTACCTTTTTATCGTAATTCTTTCACTTTATTCTTGATTAGTTGTATGCTCTGAACACGATTTTGCATTAGTGTATCGCTTTCTAATTACATATTTTATCGGTATGCATGTTTTTAATGGCTTCATCATCCTCAGATGTCAACCAAGACGTATTTATCTAGATATTTGGAGATATCGGGGTTGAGATGTGTCAAGGAAGATTCCAGAGAGAGGAGAACCAAACGGCTCCTCAAGCTTGGTTTAAATAGGAAGCTGCTAGGGTTTCATCGCACGTGGGGACTCACACGGGTAAAGACAAATAAATATTTAGGCCCAGTAACATTTGTGACCATGTCCATATCTTTTAGGCCCAAGTAGCCTAACGTTGCAGTTCACTTTCACTCTGTATCTTCTCCAATCCTCAGTTTCCTTTTCCGTCAAACCCTGCAAAATCCCTTTTACTCCCTCCACCCTTCCCCCCTCCCATAACGACGTCGTATCCCCTTATCCCGCCACAGTGGGACCCATGAATCCCTCCACCCTCACTCCCCACCGCTCCGCTTTCCGCTCGCCCTTCCTCAACCCCATTTCTCTCCCCGCCGCAACCTCCGTACACTCCCGACGACGCCGTTTCATGGTCTCATTTCCCCGGAACTCTGCCGCCTCCTCGGAACAATCAGCAGATGCTTCACCGCCGCCTCCCGATGTCTTCGGCGGCAAGAGAGAGCTCACCGGTATCCAGCCCGTTGTGGAGAAGCTTTCGCCGCCCCTCCGGATAGTGACGTCGGCAATTGTGTTCGCTGGAGCTGTGGCTGCGGGTTATGGGTTGGGTCTCCGGTTGGGGAAGTCCCAAAACGCAGCTTATGGCGGTGCAGCGGTGCTTGGAGCCGCCGGTGGGGCCGCCTTATACGCTATGAACTCTTGTGCTCCCGAGGTCGCCGCGGTTGACTTGCACAATTACGTTGCCGGGTTCGACGACCCGAAAGCTGTTAAGAAGGAGGACATTGAAGGCATTGCGAGAAAGTGAGAATTAAGTAACAAAATTCTCAGCTGGGTCGTGCAAATTACAGTGAATTTGATTGAATTTGCATTTAAAGTTTGTTAACTTTTGCAGATATGGTGTGAGCAAGCAAGACGAGGCGTTTAATGCCGAGCTCTGTGATTTGTACTGTCGTTTTGTCACTTCTGTTCTTCCTCCTGGAGCTCAAGAACTCAAAGGGGACGAAGTCGACACAATCGTCAGCTTCAAGAATTCTCTGGGAATCGATGACCCCGAAGCAGCTTCAATGCATATGGAGGTGGGTTTTTATTTACTTCTCGGTTTGTGAAAGCAAATGAATTTACTCTTTGTTTCACCTTTAAATATGTTGGTGGTTTTTTGGGTTTCAGATTGGAAGGCGAATTTTCAGACAGAGGCTCGAGACTGACCGTGAGGGTGATCTAGAGCAGCGTCGGGTAGGTCTTTGCTGCCAGAAACTTTGAGACTGTTGTTACCCTATTTGAATAGTTGAGGTACAGGGCTTTGACCATTGTTAGTGAGTCTCCAGTGCAGGCGTTTCAGAAGCTGATATATGTTTCGACTCTTGTGTTTGGGGATGCTTCATCTTTCCTCTTACCTTGGAAGCGTGTTTTCAAAGTTACTGATTCCCAGGTATCATAACTAGTAAATTATTTGACCGATGAAATTGTTGTTCTTTGTGCTCTATGCCCGGAGTCGATGTTCTTGCCATCTTTCTAGTTGTTTTATGGTCGTCGAAACTTAATTGGGTCAGACTCATATGATATTGTAATTTGGTATTCATTGTGTTTTTCTCTTGCTGCATGATTCATCATTCCTTTTTCTGACAGGTTGAGCTGGCTATCCGTGATAATGCCCAGCATTTATACACTTCCAAGTTAAAATCCGTTGGCAGAGGTAACCGCATCATTCATTAAGGCTTTTATCATTCACTACCGATTTAAAATCAGAAGATACACTGAGCAATTGAAATTTGTTTTTAAATTTGACCTTTTGTAGAGAATGGTTCATAGGATACAAGGAACAATTTGTTTGATTTTTTGTTATATTTATATTTGATGGTACACTCTTATTACTTTAACAGTCCAATTAAGAAAACATATGAGGAAAAACTTGTTAGTTATCTCAAAGAGACGGAGTGTTAGGCATATGATCTTACTTGCTCTAAGTCTCTTTTTAAGTATCTTTTTTTTTTTATAAAGATTTTCATTAGATTAGTTCAACATTTTTATGCAAGCTTTTAATGCTCTTACACCTGTTATGCGCCAAATCCTGACAAATTTATCTATCTTGTTCTCAGATATTGGAGTAGAGCAGCTTGTTAAGCTTAAAGAAGCACAACTCATGTATCAGCTCTCTGACGAGGTACCTTCTTTGCAATGTATTTGCTAGACCTGCACTATCTTGTCTTTAGTTGTTTCTTAATGTGGATAATTCTGTTTGATGCAGCACGCAGAGGACTTGTTCAAGGAACATGCAAGAAAACTAGTTGAGGCAAATATTTCAGCAGCACTTCGTATACTCAAGTCCAGAACCAGATCAGCGTAAGTTCACTACTTCCATACATAAGTGCAGCTTAGTTCTATGTTATTGGTATAAATACTTAAGTTCATTGCCATCCAAGTTTAGCCCGGGGATTGGTTATTATTTTTTATTTTTGTATGAAAGAGTCTCAGATCAAAATATGAACGTAGAAAGATGTTTTGTTTAATTTCTGTTAAGAACTTTTGGTTCCGATGACATTAATGATTTTCAAACTTAACACTAGTAGATCCTAATAGACTTAGTTTTTCAGTGCTGGAATCACGGAAGTTGTGGAAGAGCTCGATAAAATGCTAGAACTCAATAGTTTGCTCATCTCACTAAAGAACCAGCCAGATGCAGCTCGCTTTGCACCTGGGGTTGGGCCGGTTTCTTTACTTGGTAAGAATCTGTGCTGGTCTCTTGGTTGTTCTTCTCTAAGGCTGAGTTTTGGACACCCCAGCTCTACTTACTTGTGTCTCTGACTTAGGTGGCGACTATGATGCTGATAGAAAGATGGATGACTTGAAGCTCCTCTTCAGAGCATATGTTACGGATTCTTTATCCACAGGTCGCCTGGAAGAGAGTAAGGTAAACAAAGGCTGGCATGCATATTTTTTTTGCTTAAAAACTGCTTTAAAAACTGCTACCATTGCTGCTTCTGCAGTTTCTACTATTCTTATTTATGATTAATTTTTGCCTGTGTAGCTTTCAGCCTTGAATCAGTTAAGGAATATATTTGGTTTGGGCAAACGAGAGGCAGAATCCATTGTGCTTGATGTTACTTCGAAGGTATACCGTAAATGTCTTTCACAATCTGTTACATCGGGGGAGTTAGAAGCCGCAGACAGCAAAGCAGCCTTCCTTCAAAATATCTGTGAGGAGCTGCATTTTGATCCACAAAGAGCCAGCCAGATTCATGAAGGTAATGGAAGTTGCAATGCTTGTCCTTTGCGCAAATTTTTTTAATATATTTATTTTCAACACTCACCGAGGACATTCCTTTTTTATTTCGTGGATCAAACAGTTAATGTGCATTTAGGAATATCTGTTCCCTTGGTTCATAACCAAACACTACCTTGGTGTTATAATTAATATTCTGTTTTGTCCCTCTCAGAATCTGACCTGTGTTTCTTCTTTTAGAAATTTACCGGCAAAAGCTTCAGCAGTGTGTTGCTGATGGAGAGCTGAATGAGGATGATGTTGCTGTATTGTTAAGGCTACGGGTCATGCTTTGTATACCTCAGCAGACAGTTGAGGCTGCCCATTCAGATATCTGTGGCAGTTTGTTTGAAAAGGTAACTACAATTTTTCTTTTAAGCTCCTTTGTTTGGTATCTGAGATATTTGGTGGCATGGACCCGTATAGTGGTTTTCCTTAAGACCCATCATCTGCATGTGCACACGTACCATAATTTTTTTTCTTAGTTTTTGTTGCTTCTTAATTTAGCTTTCCTATTAGAGCCTCCACTATAAACATGCGTAAATATGTTAAGAAAAGTCTGCTATTTTGGAATAGGCTTTATACTGATTCTTGTGGTGGTTTCTGTCCAGGTTGTGAAGGACGCAATTGCATCTGGTGTTGATGGTTATGACGCTGATGTAAAACAAGCCGTGAGAAAGGCAGCTCATGGTCTGCGATTGTCTAGGGAGGCTGCCATGTCTATTGCTGGCAAGGCAGTGAGTATCCATTTAATCGCTTTATTTATTTATATTTTAATGTAGAGTTTGTGAATTCAAATTTAACATGCTCTCTTCTTTGTTTACTTCTATCTATGCAGGTAAGAAAGATTTTTATTAACTATGTAAAACGAGCGCGGTCAGTTGGTAGCCGTACTGAGTCTGCAAAAGAACTTAAAAAAATGATAGCCTTCAACACATTGGTTGTGACTGAATTGGTGGCAGACATAAAAGGGGAATCATCTGATTCCGCCACAGAAGAGCCAATAAAGGAGCCAGAGACAGAAGTCCTGGAGGATGAGGAATGGGAATCTATTCAGACACTTCAAAAGATTAGACCCGACAAGGAGCTTGCTGCAAAGTTGGGGAAGCCCGGCCAGACTGAGATAACTCTTAAAGATGACCTGGAAGAAAGAGAGAGGACTGACCTATACAAAACATACTTGCTGTTTTGTATAACTGGGGAAGTGAAGAGGATTCCCTTTGGTGCTCAGATCACTACAAAGAAGGATGATTCAGAATATGTGCTACTAAATCAGCTTGGGGCGATATTGGGTTTAAGCACTATGGAGATAGTGGAAGTACACAGGAGCCTGGCCGAGCAAGCTTTCAGGCAACAGGCAGAGGTGATTTTAGCTGATGGACAATTGACAAAAGCCAGGGTAGAGCAACTTAATGAATTGCAGAAGCAAGTTGGCTTGCCTCCACAGTACGTGGAAAAGATAATAAAGAATATAACTACTACAAAAATGGCAGCTGCGATTGAAACCGCTATTGGTCAGGGGAGGCTCAATATTAAGCAGATAAGAGAACTTAAAGAATCAAGTGTTAATTTAGACAGCATGATATCTGAGAGCCTGCGAGAAAGTCTGTTCAAAAAGACCGTGGATGAGATATTCTCATCAGGCACTGGAGAGTTTGATGAGGAAGAAGTCTATGAGAAAATCCCAGCAGATCTCAATATTAATGCTGAGAAGGCCAAGAATGTTGTTCAAGAGCTTGCACGGACCAGATTATCAAACTCACTGATTCAAGCTGTGTCACTTCTGAGGCAGAGAAATCGTCAAGGAGTGGTATGGATTTGTTGTATCTTTTATTATTTTAGTCCTGTAACTACTACGTGCTAATTTTGATTAGTGAATCGGTGTAGATAGGCCGTTAAATTTGATTGAATGGCAGAGTTTGATGATTTGTTTGTGCTTTTTGCAGGTTTCCTCTCTTAATGACTTGCTAGCTTGTGACAAAGCTGTGCCTGCCAAGCCACTTTCATGGGAAGTTCCAGAGGAGCTGGCCGATCTCTTTGGCATATACATGAAAAGTGATGCGGCACCAGAGAAATTATCGCGCTTGCAGTATCTCTTGGGCATTAGTGACAGCATGGCCACTGCTCTCCTGGAGATGGGAGATAGATTACAAACCATCGGTGCGGAGGAGGAAAAGTTTGTATTCTGATCGTCGCTGAGGCAGTAGTAGTATTAGAAGGTGCACCGGGGAGTAGGCCTCTGCCTGCTAGGCTGATTTTTGTTCGTCATCCATGTTTCCTTGACAAAGAGAGCTAGTGTGAGAGAATTTATAATGTGATTATTATAGACTAGTTGTCAATGCAATTGTGAAAATTCTGGATAGCCGTAGAATAAGTTTGTTGCATCGTTTAATTTTCGTTATACGACGAGATTTTCGACTTCTGGTTTAGAATGTTTTAAATCAAATGTATCAGGGAAGACCACTTCTGGTTTGGAATTTGATAGTTGCTCCTTCTCTGCTTTGGCTTCAGACAAAATGTTGAACTTCGCTTGTTTCAGTCACTAACATGCACAACAGTTGGTATTACAGTTAAATTTTCAGGTTAATTTATGGTTTAGCTCGTCTACGTGGCGAGTCAAATTTTGGAGAATGTTTTGGTTTGGAGAAATTTTTTGGTGTGACCGTAATGTTCATGGTGTTGCGAACTTTTATTTATTAATATTATTTCTGTTATGTAATTTCTATGCAAGGAAAAGTTGATTTTTTGCGATCAAAAGATCACGGATTCAAGTCGTGGATACAACCTCTTTGCAAAGTAAAGGTAATAAACATTCATCTCTCGATCCTCACAAAACAGAAAGTCTTGTTGGCCTGAGGTCGATCTGTCTTTTTATGTAATTTCAGTGTCCACTCATTAATTGGTAATAACGTGTCGATGTTGGTATCCACGAAATTTCTACCCTCTTTGTTGATGTTTAAAATGGTCAGTTAGTAAGGACAGTACGCCGCTCCTTTGCGTCTGTGTTGGAATCACATCCCCGGATATTGTGGCAGTGGCAGTTAACAATATCCTTCTGTCCAAAAGAAAACCCAAGCTAATGACCGTCGTCAATACTCTCAAGAATTACATAGCCCGTGTTAATAATTAGCAAAACATTCAAAAGTTAATAATTAGCAAAACATTCTTTTGACATTGATGATCCTATCAACTTCGGGGATTAAGGGTAATCATGAGCTAAGAAAAATGGATTATAAAGGAATTTATCATAGGTGCACTAAGTCCATATTATCTCATTCGTAATCTTTCCTTACATGATTTTACTTTAGCTGATCATATGGATTTGTCAAACACAAACCAGCCATATTCAAAGGAAACCGAAAACTTTGAATTTTAATCCTCTAGAGACCACTAAATCCGGTAAAACAAGTCTTCTATGAAGCACGCTTTTGCCACCTTCGGAGGAGAACAGCTTAAGTGCAATTGAGGATATCTTGACACGCCCCAATCCTGATATCTCCAAATATCAGGATAGGCACGTGCTAGCTGACACCTGAGGGTGACGGAGCCATTTTAAAACATGCATACAACTAAAATACGTAGTTAGAAAGAAATTCACCAATGCAGAATCGTATTCAGAGCATATAACTAATCAAGAATAATGCGAAAGAATCATTATGAAATAAATGGGATTACCAAGAAAGTGGGTCCTAAACCAAAAGGGCTCGAAGATACCTATGCGGAAGTGCTCTGACGTCGGGATCGAATGCCTCGATTCTAACTCCTAAGGGGGCGCAAAATCAAAAGAGTGAGTGGACCAAAATTTATAATAATAGTACTAATAATAAGCAAACCATTTCCCTTATGAACATACTAACCCCATGTTTTGAAAACACATATAATACTACATAATAGATTTTTTGAAAACTCTAGTATGCACTGAAAAACATTTGTAAAACATGTACGTGTAAAACAATGCTCAATAATGGTGCTATTGCTACCCGAAGGTAAATTCGTAAATCTCATCAATATTGTACTATCTAGAGGTATCATAGTCGCCCAAAGGCAATACCTGTCCATCACCTAAAGGTGAAACTGTATGACATTGGGTTACGCCAGTGAAGAAACATGATAGGTCCCATCACCTGAAGGTGAAGCTGTGCAACTCTGGGTTACGCTAGAGAAGAAATATATACATAGATATCATCAAATGTGTCATATGACCATAGATGTCTACATACCTATTTTGTGTGGATGTGTTGTATGACAACCCATTAGATAAGCACTAAAAAACATACCTCAAAACTCATATCAAATATGGAGCTGAAAAGCTCAAAGTCTCATCTCGTAAATCCATGACACTGCATAATCATAAATTCGTAAAATAGATCATATTCATATTCCATAGAAATTCATATATGAAAATCTAATAATTCATAAATCATATTCGGAAATCTGTATTATATCATATGCGTAAATCCAATAATTCATAACCTTTCGTAAAACATAATTCGATAAATCATAAATCATGCATAAGACATAAAATCATAAAATCATGCTTTTCGTGAATGCAAGCCTAATATTTTATAAAAACACGCAAGTTAAGAAGGGGTCCACTCTCTTATTCCGCTACCAGGGCGCCGCTCGAACGAGGGAGGATGGTGTCACCTTCCACTGACGCACCTAAACACAAATAGAGACCTTTATAATAAAACTCTACTAATACGATAGAATTTGGGAAAACGGACAACAAATTTAAAATCAAGACGTCGAAATTAGCCTACGAGGGGTCCCGGCTAAAACTCGAAAAAGTCAACTCAAAAATCAAAGTTGACCGGTCAATGGAAGTCAACGGGTCAATGGGTCACAGTCAACGGGTCAGATCCAGTTAGGGTTAATGGGCCAAGGGTTTTGAGCTTGGGTTATTGGGTCAATGGATTTGGGCCTGGAATTCGAATTAGGCTTGAGCCGGGTTATAGCATTAGGCTTGGTTATTAGGCTAATGGGTTTAGGTTTGGGTTTGGGCTAAAGTTATTGGGCTGGGTTGGTTACATGGATCAGGTTTTTGGTGCACGGGTTGTGTCGACTCGGCTTCAGGTCGTGGGTCGGTTGGTCTCCACGAAGAAGAAAGCAGGAGCTTCCCAAGCTCCGACCATCCTCGAAACTCAACTAAACCTAGTCATTTTATATATCAAATTGAAGCCCACAGAACAAGGAGTCAAAATATACCTTTGGTTCCCTTGACCGTGGTTGTAGTTGGCTGAAAAACCACTTGAAAGTTAACAGACGCCAGAAAATTGGAAAATGAAGGACATATATGAACAGGGTTAAAACCCTTGATATTTGACCCAAAATCCACTAAATAACTAGAAATTGTCACCAAAACTTGGGGTAAATCCTCCTTAGTCAAGCTTGCCTTGGTTTTTGAGTTCTAAGTCAACTCGCTAGAGAAAACGGCAATTCCACCAAGGACTAAGGCTAAAGATGGCTGAGTTCGTGGCAGTGGTGGTGTGCTTGGAGAAAGGGAGAGAATGGTGAGAGGAAGGGAATGTTTCCCGAGGAAGACAATGAGAAAAGAGGGAAAAGATAGAAGGAGAGAGTTCAAGAGATTGAGAGAGGAAACCATGTGGCAGAAGAAGAGTGGGGGTGTAGTGTAGGTGTGGGTTCCACGGGTCAGAATAATATTAAATAATTAAATATCCAACCCTAATATCTAGAATAATGAATTGACTATTTTGTCCTTCAACTTCGTAGTTCCGTAAAACGTTCCTCATAACTCCAAATCCGATCCCACACGCTCGTAGTGGCGAGCGCTACAAGGATACTCTGAGAAAACGGATCTTACATTACACGACAATGCAGTCAACAAAAAATGTTTTTGCCTCGAAAGGCGTTTTCGTAAATTCACCCATTAAAATTATAAAAATTGAAATATTTAGGGGTGGGTCGTTACATTACGTGATATACTAACCGGTATATCCGCGTTCAAGGTAAGAATATCTTGTTATGAAAGTTTTGCCCATGCCTACAAGGTGTTGGAAGATTCTAAAGTTTGGGGAAATCGCAAAAACATTTATTCAACCATGGTCATACATATGTAGTAAAAAACATGTTTAGGGTTTAGGTTCGATTGACTAATGTTGTCATATTAACCACTATTGTGTTAGGTTCCTCCCTCTTTGATCACTTGAAAACTATTTAGAAAAGTAGAGTGACCCCAGGCCAATAAGATTCCTTGCGAGAGAGAAAAAGAGGAGGGGGGGGGGGGGGGGGAGTTTCATCTATCCTACGCAGTCCTATCCTTGCTTTGCAAAGAGGTTATTTCCCTGATCCAAGCCCGTGAACAAACGAGTAACCTTTCTGTTGCATTACAATGATTTGTAGGCCATCAGACACTTTTCTTATGAAGTGTAGTTTGGGTAGAAGGGTTAGATACTAATTAAAGAATAATAAAATTGATGAAATTTCTAAATTTTATGTTTGCGCAGTGACTTTCGAACTCTCAATTTCTCCATCTGAACTCAATTCGTTGCTTTTGTCCCTTGTTTTTTCTTTAATTTATTTAGTCTTGAGGCTAGAAAAAGACGAAAGAACGTATGAGACTAAAAGCGAAGTGTAAAAATCACTTTCCTCAATGTTTTTGCTGGTTCAGATAATAATTGAAATCAAGCAAACTTTGGTCATTTGGCTAAAGCTTATGACCCTTGACCTAGAACAAATAGTAAATCGGCAGACGGTTAATAATCCACTAAAGTAATCCTCTATTTATACAACTTTAAGCTCCATTCTACTGGAGAAAGAAAAGAGGAAAAGAAGTATATTGTCCCCTCTCTTTTTTCGGCTATGGCTTTTATCTCACACTCTATCAGATTCTGCTTCTTTGTGCTTTTATTCCTGTTTAGAATATCGTCTGCTCAATTGTCCTCCAATCACTACGAGACAACGTGCCCTCTAGCCCTTTTCATTGTTCGGAATGCAGTTATTAATGCAGTGGTGAAGGAGCATCGCATGGGGGCATCCTTGCTCCGACTCCATTTCCACGATTGCTTTGTCAATGTACGCCCCATTATACCCTCCATCCTCTCTCACATTCGTGCACGCACACATCCATAAAATAGTACTTGTTGTAGAATTAAAGAAAATAGGAACCTTGCATCCATGTGTGTGCTTTACAGGAATAATTTTCTTGTGTAATCATGACCATTATTAGTATTAACAAATTTTTTGTGTGATTTCAAACAGGGATGTGACGCATCTGTTCTATTAGATGACACTGCAAATTTTACTGGGGAAAAGACGGCGTTACCAAATACAAACTCATTGAGGGGATTCGAAGTGATTGATACTATAAAATCTGAGCTAGAAAGTGCCTGCCCCGGGGTTGTTTCCTGCGCAGATATCCTTGCCGTTGCAGCTCGCGATTCAGTTCTTTTGGTAAGTAACATTTAATGCATAAGTTAGAGTATAATTTATAAAAATTGATTTTAATGTACGTATG